ATTTTTCTATGCTGTGCTTATCTTTTACCGCATAATAGCATATAGTATCCACAAGGAAACAGATGCACATTGAATCAATGGCATACACTCAAATCTTGTATGGTGAAGGTTAAAGAAAGGGTGCTTTTGAATTTCTGCAAGTAAGAAACTGAGTGCAGAGAAAAGTGAACTTAAAAATATGTTGTTTAATGAGCCATATGCATCTATTTGCACTTTTATTCAGAAAAGAGGATTTAGCTATCTTTTTTGGAATTAATTTTCATCAAAATTGCTTTAATCATGAAATTGATGCCAATATATAAGAAAGAATAGACTAGCTCCCTTTTCAATCACTAGGATAAATACTTCTCTGTAGTTTGGAGACATTTTAAAATTCCAAAAAAAAAATAAAAAATATTAAGAAGCAGACTTGATTTTCTCACCAGAACATTAGCACCAATACTTGTCCCCACAGAAAATAGAGGAGCTTCAGGATATTGGGTATGAAGATGATCAATGACTTTACGGATGTCCTCCGTCCATCCAGCATTATAAAAGCGTTCAGACTACAGAAGTATAATAATTAGGAGTCACTCTCACTAAATCTAATGCATGCTAGAGAAAGGCATACTTACAGTTATAGATACACCCCCAAGGCCACGATGATTGCAGACTACAACTCTCCAACCATGTTTAGCCATCTTGAAAACAAGATGTTTCACATACTGTTTAAATAATAAATTTCAGAACTAAGCAATATAAATGATATAGAAATAGAAAGTCATAACATAGAAAAAATAAAATACAATCTAAGAAATACAAGCCATATATGTTCAATTGTTCAATTACACACTACAAATAGAGGGAGAAGAGGGAAGTTCACGGAATAACTAGTTTTTGATGGACAAGAATCAATTGTCATAAAGACGCAACATATTACATTGTCACGAATTATTAGTTTGTAAGGATCACTTAAGGGACTCCAAAATAAGATGAAAGAGGCTTACAGCAGAATCAGAGTCACTTGTTAAGCCAGGTACCACTATCAGGATTGGGCTTTTATCATTGCTGTAAACTCCACCACAATTTTTTATATATGATGACCTAACTAAAAAGCACAAGTAGAAAACACAGAAGATTATTTTACTATATTTATACAATAAAAATCATCATATGATGTCAATTACAAATCATTTGTAGCAGTTATCCAGTAAAAAAAAGTAAATGATGACAAATGAGCAAGCACATAATACCACCACCTTTGAAGAAAGGAGATGATAAGATGACTAAGTACTAACACTGTCACAAACAGGGAGAATCAAACTTTTATGTTTTCTCAATTGTAAGAAGATAAAAAGTTGTCAAGTAAGTAGATAGGTCAAACTTCATTTGGTTTGAATGGTCTACTATTGTGCTCTGCTCAAACATGGAGAATAGGGAATATTGTGCTCTGCTCAAACATGGAGAATAGGGATTAGCTTGGTTGGTTATCAGTTATCACTCTCTACTAACAACTATTATTTGTTAGTTCAAGTTACCACAAGGGTAAGTGCAATGTGCAAAGCACTAAGGCTTCAGACTTCATTTGGTTTGGAAGTGTAACCCTATAAACAAATGGTCAACTATACTGAGCCAAGAAAAGAAAACCGCATTCTTAACAGCGGGAAGTTGTGCTCAAACATGGAGAATAGGGATTAGCTTGGTTGGTTTTCACTCTCAACTAACAACTTTTATTTGTGAGATGACGTTACCACAAGGGTAAGCGCAAAGCACAATGGTTCCTCCTCTACCTAGCCTCAAAAACATTTATGGTCAACCATGGGACAGTTTCCCACATTTAGAATATTACAATTACATAAATGGACCAGTATGCCTTTTATCTTTTTAATCAACAAGAAGATTCTAGCAAACATTACAAAGTTAATTCCAGACACATAAAACAGAGAAAATTGCATTACCATCCTCAATGGTCAGCCAATCCAATGCTATAGTTCCACCATCAGGTGTATGAAATATCTTTCTGGTGGCAACAACATATCAGCAAAAATTATTAATCAATAATAATAGTAGTAATAAAGATTAAAAAAAAATAATAATAATAATAATAAATAAATAAATAAATAAAGTCAGCTACATTTCACCTTCTATAGTTGCAGACTGGAGGCATCCCAAAGAAATGTAAGAAGGTAGTCTGTAAATGCGGACTACACAACCATGGAGTAGACGAAAACCTGCAAGTAACCGCACAACAACAAGACGGTGATAACGTGCAACCTTTGCATTTCAATTCCACGTGATATATGCAGTGGAAAATTAACTGAACCTAACCAACCAACAAAAGAATAAACAGTACATCACAAATACACGGATCAAAACATAACAGATAAATAAACTAAAGGAAAATATACCGAACTAACAAAAAAAAGTACATCACAAGTACAGGACTTAATATTTACCTGCCGTGAAGAATTCTACACTTGGAAACAACTTCCTGATAGAGCTGAGAGCAAGGGCTGAAGGTCAAGGACACGGTTTGACCTCTAAATCCGGCGAGCAAATCTCGGAAGAAATGGATTTCGATGAAATGATAGAGAAAGAAGATAAGGATGGAGAGAAAGGCAAATAGATAGTGAGATATGGGAATCAACGAAGCCGCTCTGAGCAAAAGCTCGTACGGCGGATGAGAAACTGAGTCTAAGCAACCATCCATGGATGTCGTCCGCCGCGATGGGGTGGCGCCGGGAGTGTGGGGACGAGTATGCACTGTGTAGAGTGTAGACCAATCAGAATCCCGTTTTCTATGGTCGGAGCCGTTCCGAAATCAACACGTGAGCGCTTGAAATTTATTTGAGGCAATATTCTAGAATTTGTCGTGATCTGGAAATCATTTCATTTCAATTTTTCCTGTTAAGATATATACCAATTATAAAATAATTACTCTCTACCTCATTTTATATGTCTTATTTATTAGTAAAATTGAATCTCTTTTTTTCTTTTTATTTTTTAAATATTTTATTTTAAATATTAATATTTTTTGTATTTAATAATACTTTTAATGTAATTTTTAAATATATAAAATTAATTAATATTTCTTCAAAAAAATACTAAAATTAATATTATAAATTTTTGAATAGAAGTTTATTAAGTAAAAAAATAAATAAATAAAAAAATTGCGAAGAGTTGGTTTTCTCTTCAAATAACTACTTTCTTTTTTTTTTTCATCTGTAAAGGCCCTGTAACTCTATCCTCCGGCTACCGGCTGCTGGCTGCCGGCTGACCCTCTAATGGAGGGTTGAGCTTTATTCCTTTGGCTAGTTTGTTTTCTCTTGTCTCCCTGTCGAGTGTTTCCCTCTCGTTTCTTTGGCGACTTTTCCTCTCATTTCTTTGGCGAGTTCTCATCATAAGCGTGGAATGATAAAATGGTCACATCAGAGTCAAGCTTGACTATGTTTGACCAGATCTGTGAATAAACACCGAGTTCATTCAACAACTTTGACTTCAAATTTATAAAACAGTCAGCGATCCAAGTTTTCTATAACACTGCTAGGAAATTTGTTTCTATGTCTGACGGTAAAGAATGCACTGTCATTATAATGATCTGTATTGTAAACATTTATGTTTATGATTAATGAATTAGCCTTTTATTTTAAAAAAATGAATTAAAAATAATTCAGTCTCGTTAATCGAACTAAACACATAAAATGAAATAGAGGAAGTATGTTTACTCTTATACCACCTTCTTGTAGTAATTATAAATTAATAAATAAATTAAAGTTAGATTAATTCTAAAAATAAGTCCATTTGATTTGTATGTGATTGTAAATTTATGAGTATTAAATTAGATTGACTATAAAATAAGTTCATTTAACTCGTATAGTACATTTGAGTAACAATTGTGAACAAGGGGTGGTGGCGCAGTCGGCTAGTGCATAGGTTTCATACTTTCTGAAAGAGTAACACTTGTGAATTTGTGATTAAATTAAAGTCATTTAATAGTGAAAATTTAATGATGAATCTAAATTTTTAAAAGTTACATAGTGGTTTAAATTTGTATTATATTTAAAATAATAATGTACAATGATTACTTGAGAGTTGTGCAACTTTTGTTTTGTAAGAAGTTGTGAAGTACTTATTCGTCACATTTTATGCGTTTAGTTTAGTTAATGAAATTTAATTATAGTTATTATGATTCAAATTTACATAATATGAAGTTTATAATTAACATATACAATTTATATATTTATAAATTATGTTAACACTACTATTAAACATAAACAATTCAAAATTATAAGAAAATATTAAATAAAATAAACAAATACGGAGTAATAAGTAGTTTAATTTTACAAATTGGAACTCGAATCATCTAGTTTTCAACTAGAATAGTTGTTTTTTATTCTATTGCAAATAAAATTTGAAACCAAAAGTCTATAATCCAATGACCCCATGAGAAATATCATCGATTGTTGTAGAGCATGGATGAAGAAGGATTGGGCGCTCACTTTCCATCATATCTTTAGGGAGCAAGACAGAGTTGCATACTGTTTGGTCAAAAAAATTTACCAAGGGACAACTAGGTGGACAAAGTGGAAGGACTCCCCGCTGAACAATTTGAGAGTGTTATTTGAAGACAAAGTTAGCTTGTCCTACAATCGTTATGTTAGTATAGGGTGTCAATTTTAATGACACCTGGCTTGATCCTTCGTTAGATTAAAATAAAAAAATTTAAAATTACCCATACAATTTTGTTATTCTTTAAACTAAACGGTTATAATTTATATGGAGTAATTAAGAGTTTAATCACATTATTATAATTAACTTTGAGAGTTTATTTTACACTTACCATTATCAAATATCATAAATCAATTTGTTTGATTAGTTTTACTGGTAAGGAAGTAAATAAGTTATATAGTGTAAATTTTTTATTTTTTGTAATAATAATAATAAAAAAAAAAGCTTTTCATTTATCGAACAAGTTATTTTTTGTTTTGTTTTTTGTTTTGTTTTTTTTTTTTTGCCGCCAACTTCCCAAACTTTGGCCGTTCCAAACAGCGGCTCTGTAAATGACCAGTTGACCACCATGGCTTTGCGCCACCTCACAACCGCCATTGCAGCCAAGCTCCGCCGCCACGTCCGCACGTTCGTGAACGCTAAGGTTAAGTGGGTCCGAGACCCGTACCTCGACAAGGCAGTCGAGAACGAGAAGAACCTCAAACCCTTACTCTCTCTCAAAACAGTTATCCTCTCCCAACCATCTAAAACCCTACCGCTCCGCACCGTCGCCGCTCTGAAGCCCCATCTCGGCCTCCCAACCACCGCCTTGAGATTCATCCAGAAATACCCTTACATTTTCAAGGTTTTTCGACCTCCGAACAAGTCCCTATCTACCCCTCACGTAAAGCTCACTCCGAAGGCTCTCTCTCTGCACACCGATGAAATGCTGATCCTGAGCCTTTCGCATCACCGGAAAGACGTAGCGGAACGGCTGGCGAAGCTCTTGATGCTCGCCAGAGCTAAGAGACTCCCGCTGGGTGTGATTGAGAAGTTCAAGTTCGATTTGGGTTTGCCGTATGACTATTTGCTGAGTTTTCTACCCGAATTTCCGGAATATTTTCAGATTTGTGACATGGGGTTTAGGGATCCATCGGGACTCCAAGTGTTCGGATTAGAATTGGTTAAATGGAGGGATGATTTAGCAGTTTCCGTAATGGAAAAGAGGGCGAGAAGTAAGGATTCCGAGGCTGGAAATGGAAGGCCTATTAGGTTTTCGACGAATTTACCAAGAGGGTTTGATTTAGAGAAGAGAGTGAAGAATTGGGTGGAGGAATGGCAAAATTTGCCGTACATTTCGCCTTATGAGGATGCTTTTCATTTGAATCCTAATAGCGACCAGGCAGAGAAGTGGGCAGTGGCAGTGATTCATGAAATGCTTAATTTGCTGGTGTCCAAGAAGACAGAGAAGGAGAATGTTTATTCTTTGGGGGACTATTTGGGTTTTGGGATGAGATTCAAAAAGGCTTTGGTGCATCACCCAGGGATATTTTACCAGTCTAACAAAATCAGGACACAGACTGTAGTTCTAAGGGAGGCTTTTAAGAAGAATTTTTTGATAGAGAAGCATCCATTGATAGGCATGAGATACAAATACATCTATCTCATGAACTTGGTGTTAAGAAGGGGCATTCCGATTCATGCTGGAGCTATTAGATATAGGGAACGCTTGGCTTGTATTAAAGGACAGAAATTCAAGGCAAAGGAAAGGAGCCAAAATCGAGTGAAAAGAGATGATGACTATCATCACAATGACGATTAGAATGAAGTGAAAAAGGAGATGATGATCTCTTGTGGTTGCTGATGCTAAGCAACTTGTCTAATATCCGGGTTAAAAGAGACTGTGTTCTGATGGAGAAAAGGGTCGAATATGTTAGCATGATTAGTCTTGGGCATTCACTTTAATTGTCCATGAGCAATCAGTTCCGAGCTTAGTTACAGAATCGATGCACTAAAGCAAAAAAAGTTTAGAATAGCAGTGCACAAAGTGGTGTTAAATGGATAGTTCTTTGATAGTAGGTGGTGGTTGGATGAGGATGGAACTTAAAAGCAGGAGAGGTCATCATCATAAAACAAAGCATGCAACTAGTAACTTCTAGACTACAGTTTTTTCTAGGAAGCAAATGTAAGCAATAGGTTTGTCATATGTTGTAGTGGAGATTCCAGAATATTGCGGTTCCTTGGCAGTTTAAACTACATGAATGTGATCTTTGAGGTTATTTAGGAGGTAGCTTCTTCTCTTTGTGTTGGATGCTTTAACACCGTTGAGAAATCTAAGGAGTTCATCTGCTATGGCAATTATACTTCATTTTCCTCTCTTGTCTGCCACAAGAGGTGTGTACAGAAAAATATCTCAACAAGTTTTTTCATTTGGATTCTGATATTTTAGGATTGAGGAAAGGTAAGTAGGTAACCATGTTGTGATCATACTACCTTATTTCTTTGACCTTTGTACACAAGTAATAGCACATTTTCTTAAATGAGTGAAGTTAAAGCTAAAGCCCATAACTATTATAGGCTATGTTGAGTTTCTGAGCCTTTGAGTCTTTGACAAGTGATTGCCCATTTGGGCTGAGGTCCCGGCCTTCAATCCTGTCAGAGTTTCAAATGGAAAAAAAGCCCGTAACGTCTTAACTCTCAACTACTCATCCCTAGATGTAATGAAATTTCATGTGATCCAATAATTTTTCTTGACATCTGCTCCGTATTTTATATCACGTTTTCGACTTTATTGTTTACCAAAAAGTTGACTTGAATGAATCTGAATATGTCACCCCTACCTGAGTTCATATTTTCTCATTTTCACACTATGCAGGATGCTTTCTGTTAAATCATTGGACTTATGTGTAGCATGTTTTACATGTGCTTGTAAAGGGGTACTGACTGATTTTAACAAGACAAGGTGAAAAAGAGGTTGTTGAGCAATGGAGAAAAAGTACATTTTCCACACAATTGAGTGAATCGTTCTACATGATTTTTCAGACCTTTTTCCAGAAGGAATTCATACGGTAAATTCTTTCATCTTTAGACTTGTTGCATTTAATGATTGGTCATATTTAAATGAAATACAGAGTGCAGTTTTAAAACGGATAAGCAATTACTACGTTAGTACATCTTGTGAGCTGTATAATATATTTGTAAAAAATATATATTCCCCCCATTATAAGACAATATAGGGTCATGCAATATCTGTTTAATTTTAGGTGTACTATTTATGTCGGTCACAGTGTTTATGTCTTAGATGTATATAATATAAGTTGATACGCATGGTAGTTACCGCAGTTCTTCCAATAATGTTGATAAGCAAGCTACAGAAAGGTAAGGCCAAGAGCCCAAGAGTTTGTTGATATGCTATAGTACGAATGTGGTGTTTAAGGCTGTAGGGCTACTAGGACAGCTATTATAAATTTATAATACACATTTGTAATGCTGCCAAAAGCAATGGCTGTCCTACCATGTGTTGCCGTTCAATGCTGCAAGATTGTTTTTAGTCAACTACCATGGACCAGGATTTATATTGCATTGTGAATCCTGATACAGAAATTTTGTACATTCAGTTAACACATTCTGTACCTACCGTTAATAGTTTCTGTACATGTAAACAAATAACTTGATAATTGCGGACACATAATATGATAATTACATGTACAGAAACTATCAACTGCAGGTACAAAACGTGTCAATTATAGATACAGAATCTGAAGGTTATTTTTTGACCAAGATCTACAATGCAAGATAGACGCTGATCCATGGTATAATTTGCCGTTTTCTACTGTGTGGAAGTTTCACCCCCTTGTGAACCATTGAGTCACCGTGATTTACATCCTCTCACATGCTCTCTCGAGTCGGAGTGTGGGGGCCCCTTAGGGTTGGAGATTCAACATTTGGGGGAAGGTATTGGTCCTTGCACAATCCTTGTAGGATTGGAGTGTGGGGCCCGGGGCCCGGGTACAAGGGTTTTTGCCTTTTCACCTAGGAATTTAAATTCTCTCTTAATCAGTTCCTCTCCCTCTCAATACTCCATGCACCTCCTTTTGTCTTCTTCGTCCTCTCTCTCCCTTTACTCTTCTCAACCATATTTTCTTCTCCACTTCCTCTATTTGTTGTCCAATGCAAAATTGGAATTGATCTCTATTTGTTACACAGGGGAAATATCTGGAAATTCTTTCAAATTTCTCAACTATACCCTTGCCTTTAATGAGTAGTTCTCATGGATAATAACTTATTGCTCCCTCCAAGTTGTGATATGACTGTACAAGGTACCTACTTCCCTAAGGGTTAGGTCACAGATTTAACATGCTTCCTAATTGCTAGGCAGCTAGCTACTTGCTCCTCCTCCTTATTGGACATCTTAAGATGACTAGTTGTGGCCTGTGGGGCTGTTGGAATTAATCAATGTATATTATTCATCAATATGAGCAACCCAACACCCTTATCAGGAATTAGAAAATTGGTTAAATGCAGAAAATTTCCAGAGTGGGTGAACTTTGATTTGATGCTGTGTCATCAAACATGGGTTCTTCTTTAAACTATATTGCCCGTGTTTCCTGGGATGACTTTAGTGGGCAAAGGCAAGAGTGAAGTAAGTCTCAGCAATGCTGGTAGTCGAAGGATAGGGGTTCAGTTTTGACCCGTAACACAGTTTGGAGTTGAATCCTTTATAGGTATTAGTGTATCAAGTTCTTAGTCTTGTACTCTTGTGATTTAATTCTTTCACAAGATGGGATAGTGGGGGCCATTGAGATTGATCTCAACATTTTTCTTTATTTGTGAAGTATTACCTTTGAGGCTTTGAAAAGCATTCAATCCAAAAGTCTGATGAAAGAGGCCGCTAGCATATGCTTTTGTCAATCTCTCCTAGACTATAGTGCTAGAAAATTTAATATTTGGGTCATCTATATCAGACCCCTTAAAGAATAAATTTTGAAAACTTCTGTCTGTTTGTATAGACGTCTAATGTACACAAGTAATCATCTTATCGCTGAATAATTGAATATTATACTGTCGGTATTGACGAACTTAAGCTTTGTATTCTCCAGTTGGAGAAAGAGAAGTGTCACAGTCAGTCATGAAACACGTGAAGTTTTATTTGTTTATTATTGATTATCTAAGTATAGAAAATTTGGAGAGGATTCTTTATTCTGGTTTAGTAATCTTAAGCTGCGCTGGCAAATTGATTGAGCACATGTCCAATGTGGGCAAATCTCTCAAAGATTTTTCTATTCACTAAGATTTATTGGGTCCTAAATCTTCCTTCCCAAGCCAAACATATGCCATGAAACATGGCAAATTATGCTCTGGACCCGTGTCCACATTGAATTGTGGAGACGGGCCCAAAACGACGTCGTTTTTTAAAAAAAACGTGTCATTTAGTTAAAAAAAAAAATCGCGCGTGTTTTGCTGTTAATGGCGTTATTTTTTTTTTTTTTTTTGATTATGAATGTACAGTTATGCCGTTTTGAATGTATAGTTATGCAATTATGAAATTATGAACACAGAGCTCTAACATTATGAACTTACAATTATGAACATATATAGTGATAAAATTATGACCATGGAGCTTTAAAATTGTGAATATAGAGCTTCGAAGATTATGAATGTACAGTTATGGAGTTATGAATCTACAGTTATGGAATTATGAATGTACAGTTATTGATCGAATTATGAACAAAGAGCTCTAACATTATGAACTTACAATTATGAACATATAGTGATAAAATTATGAACATAGAGCTCTAAAATTGTGAACATAGAGCTTCGAAAATTATGAATGTACAATTATGGAGTTATGAATGTACAGTTATGACGTTATGAATGTACAGTTATAGAGTTATGAATGTACAGTTATAGAGTTATGAACGTACAGTTATGGAGTTATGAATGTATAGTTATTAACATATAGTAATAAAATTATGAACATATACTTCTATAACAAAGTGATCTGAAATTAAAAAAAAAAAAAAGAAAAAAAAAAAAGAGAGATAACAGTGCCTAACGGCACTGTTACCCGTGTCCAGCAAGCATGTTGGACACGGGTCCAAGGCATAACAATTGATGAAACATCGCCATAACTTCACAATTAGACTACAAGCAATCCCAACATTTAAAATAAAACCCCAAGCCATTTCCACCCACATCCTTAATTGCGCCACCCGTCACCTAGCAACTGATACCAGATTAGGACTAATATTCTGATTATTAAATCAATTGTACAGGATTACAACATGAATAAATATACATACTATAGAGTTATAGAACAAATAACTAGAACTATAATAATTACAATAGCATTAATAATAATAATAATAATAATAATAATTGCAATAAGAGACCTAACAACCGCTCTCCCGGGTTATAGCCTTGTAGGACCCTAAAATGTCTAATATGAAATTATTAGTGAGAATAGATTAATAGACGTGACTTATTGAAATACTAATTTAATAAATACACACACTACCTTAATCAACCAGCTTATTAAATATTTCACATGGAATAGACATCGCAGAAAGGAGCTTTCTTGAATATTAAATACATTGGGTAAAAAAGCACGTGATGAATTGGAGCGTGGGCTCCAATGGAATCGGCCGGTGAGCTTATAGTTATGACCTCAACTTCAAAAGCTGAAAATGCCTAATGATCTCCCAGTTAAGCTGGTTAATTATGATTTACTTAAGTTAGGTTACCTCTTTGATTCCCTTGTCAATTACATCTCATAATGAGCTTTTCTGTAAAAACAAAAAGCACGTGAATTTAGAGGACAAATTAGTACAAACTCGGGGAGAGCACTATACCTAGAGTCCTCACTCATTATTGAGTCATGTGAGCTTAGCAAGGACCACGAAAAGTGTGAGAGTATGGTAATGTGGTTTTTGTATTCCTAATCCCAAGAGCCTCTCACATCCCGTCCGGACAGAGTATTTGGGCAATCATATTGTGGCTGGTAAGACTCTATCTTTGGTCATTCTTTACAAAGTTTATCTCTATGACCATCTGAGCTATCCATGCACATAAATATGGTATTTGTATTGTATGTAGGTTTGCGAGTTGTGTGGAAGCTTTGAAGTGTGTACGCGCCACGCGGTGGATAAGATCCGATCCGCGTAAGCAGCAGATTCAATTAATTTTGGTGCGACTGCCACGCAAGGTTTGCATATGCATACATTGTATTGGCGGGTCCCACTACGTACCCTCTCAAAAACATGCTCAATTCTCCCCTTCACTCCCGCTTATAAATTAGCACTTATCAGAGCTCTAGATTATCATCATCTACAATTCGTCTTCTCTTATTATACAATCTGCATATCTATCTATCTATCTAGCACCTTCTAGCTAGTTCCATTTGCATAAATATATATATACTTACAGCGCTAGCTCAAACATCTATCATTTGATTTGAAGAGAGTGAAGATCGATCAGAATGGGTAGAGAGATAGAGAGCTGGGTAGAATCATCTTCATCTTCATCTTCTGCTTCTGCTTCTTCTCCTTCATGGTCGTTCCTTTCAGATGATGAGGAAAAGAGAATGCCATTGCTGGCGCTGAACCATGTTTCCTTTGTCTGCAAATCCGTCAGGAAATCCGTGGAGTTTTATGAGCGAGTTCTCGGATTTGTGCTCATCAAGCGCCCCTCCTCCTTCGACTTTGAAGGAGCTTGGTATGTTACTTCTTCCCATCATACTTACTACATACTATTAATTTAGATTTTTACTCCAAATTAAATACATTTTCTTTTCCAATTTACTTATTTAATGAATTAAAGTATTTTTCACGGTCTAATGTCACCTGAGTTGGACTCTCATATGAAAGATTTTAAAATGTTTTTATAGGTTGAAAAAATAGTTATGAACGGATATTACATTAAAAAAAAAAAGTATCTTTAATAAGTATTACATTTTAATCTGACTCAACTAACGGACAAATTTTTGCCTATATAAATGCACCGTTCAGTTTGGTCTTTATATTATTTGGACCCGATCAAGAAATAATTAACCTGAATATATATATAATAAATATATATGTAGTTACCCTACACTTGTAAAGTGAGAAGGTAAATAGTCTCTTTATAATGGCCAAACAATAAAGTTTCATTAATATTTTTCTTTTATAAAATTTATAGCATGTTGTAAAATATCTGAAGATGTGAACCACAAATTTTGTCTAGTCATTTTCCGTAATGTCTTCTCTTGACAAAACTTCTT